TCTCAGAAATAGGCAATCTTCTAGATGAAAAGTCGAAAAGCTTCCGGTAACGACAGTATTGGCATTGAGCTCATGAATGCCGTTGAACACGCACTCTGGAAGGCAGTTGTCGCTAAAATCACTCTCTACCTTACAGAGAAGACCAGCCTTAACAGCTGAAATGAATCAAGGGCCGTTTTGCTCTATAAAAAGAGCGACAAAGAAAACCTGAAGAATTGTCGCTGAAGAAGAGTCCATAGTGCTCATCGAGAATAACGCTTGAAAAATGAAAGAGATGCAGCAAGAGCACAGCGAACGAAGTAATGAAGTGGGTCTTAAATCAAAGCAACGAAAACAGAGGTGGTGCATGGTGTCGGCACGCTCAAAGCCAATTTACAGTTAAACTGTGCGGATTTGGAAGAAGTCAGCAACTGTGCCAACTTAGGCCAAGAGTTAAATATGCGTCACGACCTCCTACCGCAGATTATACGTCAAAGGGCTCCGGATGGCTAAATTTCATAGCATCATCGATGTCTTCAAAGAACAGACCAGAAAGACCGTTCCGGTTTCTTCAACAGCGTAATGTTGAAGGCAATGACATACGGATTAGAAACGTGGACACCGACGAAGGCAAAAGAAAATGTACTGGTCGTGTCGGAGAAGGCAATGGAACGAAGGATGTTTAGAGTATCAGTGCGTGACCGTATCCACAACAGAACTCTCTGCAAAATGAGTGACGTGGAAGATATTCGACTAAAATCCGTTGAGCAGGCCACGTCACATGTCTTGATTACAACCGATGGGCCTCGCGCATTGCGGAATGGTACTCGAAGGAAAGAAAACGATCACGTGAGTGACCTCCGATGAGATGGCAGATGTGCGTTGAAGAAATAACGGGAAGGAACTGAATAAAAAGTATCAAGGACAAAATGACCTGATATGACTGCGTTAGATGTGGAAACATTGAAGAATCCATACTGAAGCCCGAGCAATCTTGCAGTCTTGCAAGAAGTACTTTATGCCAATTTTATTTTTTTTGTTGATTTCACATGATCGGTTTTTCTTTGCAGAGATGAGCTGTTCCAGATATATGTAATACTTAGTCATTCAAGCCTAAGTCCGTTGATTTCAATAGGTCGTGCGATCGCGTATTTTCAAGGTACGATCTGAGTTTTCTTCAGATTAATATTCAGTCCTGTTTGTTGATGCTGGGTCGTTCAGCTCTTGGATTCTACTTTGGTTTCATTCGACGATTTCAAGGGATCAGAGCATTGTCCACCAACTGCAAGTGGCTTACGTAGTGCTGATTTATTTTCAACTTTAGATGTTCCATACAGAGTGTTTTCCAAACCTCTTCTAGGTCTTCGGTGAATAACTTTTATGATATTCCGTCTACCGATTAGACTTCCCTTTATAAACCGAATTTGCATGTTCTTTCATGAAGCTTCACGCTAGCTGGTGCATTCTTGAAAATCATAGCTCAGGAATAGGTAGCTTTCTTTGATTCTCTAGTTCCTCAAAGAGTCCAGTATAAATCGACGTAGTTGGAGACGAGTTCCAGGCAGATAGGAACCAAAATTCGTTGCTTGTGCTAATTACTTGTTGCTCCACCAAAAAATAATGCATTGTACTGAATCCGTTTTTGAATCTTGTTTGCTCTTTTGGCTAGGCCAAATCAAGTTTTTCTTTAAGCCTGTTCGTCAGTACTTTCATGAAGATGTCGCAGATGATTGTTAATAAAAATTGATCGACCTTTGGTTCCTCAAATCTTTTACGTCCAACTCTCGTGCGTTTGAATCACTGACGCGGAAGACCAATTGTCTGGAATTTTCAATTCTTACAGAAAAGGTGAAAACAAGCTCGCTAATATCTTGATCAATGTATCACCGCCATACTTTACGAGTTCCACTGTAATACCATTTTCGCCAGAAGGTCTAGCTCGTTTTGACTGTTTATTGACTGTGGTACTTTTTCTGGTAAGAT